AGATGGTACTTCTTTCGAATTATGAATTGAACTACACGCATAAATAAAAAAACGGACTTTAATATTTCAACATAATTAATGCGAAATAAAGATTTTGAGAATACATTAAATATTTGAATGGTGGTAGAAGATCAATCGATCAGTTGGCACTCGAGGATACGTTTAACTCGATTCAATTCAATCCTTCTTTGTATATTTTAAATAACTTTCACCACTTTTAGTTACTTGGGAAAACTTTCACAACTCTCTTGTGTATCAGTTCGCAACTTCCAATGACAAATCAATGAAAAAATAGTCAAGTGGGTACACTTAATTCGATTTACTTCTTATCAAAGTTGAATATTTTATTTCCAACAAATGCCACCATTAAAATGTGATTCTTCCAATGTCGTCAAGGCGATAAGGGACAGCAGCACACACTTTTTCATCTGATTTTCTCCTAAAATATATTTCCCTATTTGTGCAGTCTATTTCACCAGAAAAGAAGACTTTTTTTATTTTCAAGGTCACAGAAAAAATATATCTCAATGCATTCGTCTTTCAGTTTACTGAAAGAAAAATTCACTTGCTTCAGATAACTACTATGAAATGGAACACCGCAAATTGCAATTTAAGAGCATGCTCCTCATTATGTTCTTCTTTCTCAAGAAAATATTTAATACCCTCATATTAGTTTCAAACAACATCTCATTAAAAATATCTAATCAACGAACTAACGTCATGCGTTTGCTAATCTTGTTTCTTATTGAGAAAGAAGATCATATTTATTTATTTTCAGTTCAAAAATCTAAATAAAAGTTTTAATAGTCCAAAATAAATAGAAAATTGTGTTTTTGTAAAATCGTATTAAAATTAGGGCATTTATGCATTAATTTTCGGGCGTAAATAGTATCTTTTGGGCCCTAAGTCCTAAAAAACCAGCAATTGTAATATCTTTTATTGAAATATGTAGTTACAAACATTTAGCTATGCATATAAAAGCTGTTTTATATCGATACCATGCTTCAAAACCATAACCGAACGAATCGTAGAATAATGGGAGCATAAGGTAGATGGGCAAAATTTCTGCGACTCTTCTTTGAAATAAACAAGTAAAACGTTTTCATTAATCTGGCGGTCAGCGATATTTTTCTGGGTGCAYCATAGCAAAAATTCATTGAAAGTTTTTTCATCGATTTTTCTTGACTTTCGTGGGAATAACGCAAGTGTTACAGCTTTCGCTTCTTCGGCTAAAATAGCTATTTCTTCTTATTTTTCGTTTTTCGGACATATTTTTATCACAAATTCAACTTCTTGAAAGATCACGTCAATAATTTTTTCATTATTTTGTTTTTATTTATTTGCATCATATTAGCAACCAAAAACAACTCGATTTTTGAGAACGAATCCTGCCATGCTCCTCATTATGTTCTTCTTTCTCAAGAAAATATTTAATACCTTCATA